GCCACTGTGTCCCTCACGTCCAGCCTCCTCGGCCACAGCGCTGCCCAGGCTACGAGCAGACTGACCACACAGACCGGCTGGCCCACTGGGTCTCTGCTTCCTGACCACGACCCTCCAACCTCCAGGAGGGAGCCGGCGAGACCTGGGTCTGGGCTCCCAGCAGAGTTGATCAGCTGTCTGAGTCCCAGCTCCTGGCTGACGCCAAAGCACCGCGCTAGTAAACGGGGCATCCGGCGGGGGTCGATGGTGCAGGACAGTGTTACCCCCTTCTGGAGTCACTGTCACACTGCAGGCGTGCGACCCGATCGGCTCCTACTACTTAAAACTGCTTCGCACAACCCCGAGCTGAAAACACCAGAACACCCATTAGGCTGAAGAGCCGCACGAGAAGACCTGGCTTTTTGGAGAGTTCCCCAAAATCGGGATCGGGGGGCGAACCTGCTTTAGAAAACGCAACCTTTCTTTCGACAAAAAAGACACGTAAACTTTTGCAAACTATCATTAACACGTAAGGGTTTGCGCAATGACATGTGAGCAGACCCAGCCACAATGCCCGCTTTCTGGCGTCCTGTCTTCACTCATCTTCACTTACCAGGGTAATCGCCTCCTTGAGGGTCGAGCTGAGAGCTTCATTTTTCAGGGTTTCTTTCGCTTTCTGTTCACTGAGCCCGATCTCAGTGAAAAGAGTTACCAAGTCCGCCATCTTTACGCCGGTCTCAGACACATGCCTCTTTCTGGTCCTGACTTCCTCCACCGAGGGGAGGTGCAGAGACGAGCCTTGACCAATCACTGCCCAGGGTTGGCCGATTCTAGCCAATCCTAGCTTGAATCATTGAGTTCCGGTTTTCTTCCCCAGGAATAGCCAATCAGAGTAGTGATCTTATAAAAGTGGGCGGGGTTCACCGAATGCTTGCAAGTGGTTGCATCATAAAGGCAGCGTGGACGCGATTTATAAACTACTGCTGGATTTAAGCACGAACAAGATGATTTATGTGTATTTTGTAATAACGAGAAGGAATCTTTGTTACATTTTTTTGTTAACTGCATATATACAAAACTGTTTTGGATAGATTTTGCAAAATGTTATTGTTAAACTTTTAAAGGTAAATGTTAAATTGAAAGATTTTGATATTATTTTATATTTTGTTAGATCTGATTTGGATAAAAGATATGTTTTTATTTTTAGTCTGTTAATTATTTTGGCTAAATACTTCATCCACAAAATTAAATGGTCTAATACTGCTCCCTCTACTCATGCTATTAAAATTAAATTCCTTTTTATTTAAATTTTATTAGACATTTAAAGAATCAAAAGGCAAGATACAATGGAAATATGTAAAAAGTATAATTTTTTGTTTTTACAATTGTGAATTCCTCTGACTGTGAAGTCTATTTCTGTATCTATTTAAATATTCTGTCTCCTTTTTTGTAATTCTGGTGTTTAAATAAAATGTAACATTTAAACATAAAAAAATGCAGTAATAACCACATAGATAACCTGTGTAAACCCTGGTTCATTTTCCCCTGTATATTTGTCTAGATTTCAATGTTTGAAAATGTTCACTGCAATTGTGAAAGTGTTATGGTGTTTGATTAATTTATAATTAATCTCTTATTGATAATGGGTAAATAACAATGATCAGAATGGCCAATAGCTATTTCCTCCTTTATTGCCTATAAGGTGGAAATGCAGTATTATATATAAACGACCTGTGTTCTGATCTTTTAATGAACTCCGGCAGCGTACGGTTCTTTTTGTCACTTGTCTTTTTGGAAACTTTTCTTCTCTGTGTAATTTGATGTTTAATAAAACATAAAACAACATGATGATAATAATAATAATAATAATAATAATAATAATAATAATAATAATGTATTATTTGAGCAGATTTTATTGTTGTTTTTATTCCTAACTCAACATAAC